TTACAAGGCACTGTAAGTAAATTGCTTTCATTGTAAAAGGCCATTTTCTATTGCAGAAACTGTCTCAGAAGAGTCCCCAATACTCAAGGAATTTCACAGTGTCCAAACATGTTTCTGGTATGTTATAGGTTAGGAGAATGATTGATTATACCAGCAAAGCCTTACAAATCTTTAGACATAACAAAAAAACATAATGATTGTGTATTTTACCATTTTTCTATTTGAAAAATATTCACAGTACTTCACAGTTCTCGATTTATTTTATTTCAGACCAATAGTCAAAGTACTTATTTTGTGTTTACTGTCAGCTCATTGAAGGTATTGGCTTTACCCACTAAACATGTTGTTACCAAGACATTATAGGATTTTAGCCATAGATTAGATATTGAGACGGGATGATATTCTTAGTGCGATAGAGAGAGCAAGAGCAAATCCTATGCATTTGTTTTACTAACTAATTCTTTACCCCTGAAAATGATTGGAAACTGACCTCTAGTGGAAATGATTGTAGTTGCAGTATCATATTGTACAGTAAATCTGACTGCACCAGGCTGTACATTAAATATCTTTATATGCACTATGAAAATAATGAGAAAGAAACAACATATCAGTTAGAATCAGAGAACAGGAATAACCAAAAACATATCCAGTAGACTTACTCCACTGTATAGTGGACTTTTCTGTTTGTTTTTCCATGAAAATACAAATGAATCAGATGATGGTCTCTGCCTAAATTATGGAAGCTACTCTGAAAATATAGTTTACCAAGCTACCAATTACTTCACACTGGAAGAAGTTAAGCTACACTAAAGCTACCCTTAAGAGAAATATAGTTTACTTAACTAAAGTTACTTTGAAAAAGTAGTTCACTACATTCAGAATACTTTGTGATAAATTATCATATCTCAATCTGAAATGTCATAGGCTAAAAATTGCAGGAACAGATCACTCTGGAGTCAGATGTTAACAGAATGTGTAATTTAGCCTTTTAAACACCAAACCTATGTTTCAAGTGAGATTTAGGCAGGTCTGATGCCAAAAAAGAAAGGCAATTCTTGCCTTCTTCACCCATATTTTATTTTATTTTTGCAAAAAAAGTAGGGTGTAGTTCCTGCCACTACATGGCACATTTTTTTATTAACTACTGAAAACACTACCAAGATTTTAATTTAGTTCAACTACATTTACATTTTAGTCATTTAGCAGACACTCTTATCCAGAGCGACTTACAGTTAGTGAGTGCATACATTTTCATACTGGCCCCCCGTGGGAAACGAACCCACAACCCTGGCATTGCAAGCGCCATAATAATAATAATAATAATAATATGCCATTTAGCAGACGCTTTTATCCAAAGCGACTTACAGTCATGCGTGCATACATTTTTGTGTATGGGTGGTCCCGGGGATCGAACCCACTACCTTGGCGTTACAAGCGCCGTGCTCTACCAGCTGAGCTACAGAGGACCACATGCTCTACCAACTGAGCTACAGGGGACTACCACCAAGCTACTGCAAAATGTAGTTAAATTACTAGTGTAACTACATGTAGTTCACTACTCCCCAACACTGAGTGTACATGTATATGTTTTTGATATGATGTTGGTCAATGGTCTCTGTTTCCAGGTGCAGAAGCAGTTTTCAACTTCAAAGCAGCCAGTTCAGAGGAAATAATTACTAACGTCAGTGACATTTCTTGAGGTTTCTTATTTTGAATTTATAGGAAAGATAGTAGGAGTTACTTTTACACCTACAAAATCCCAACGTTATCCCTGGCTATAATTGTATTAAATAGTCATAAATGTCCCCAAAGAGTGAAGTCCATTAAAACTTTTAGATGTTTGCAGAGATTGCTAGTTGTATTATTTGCTGCCCTCTAGAGGCCATTTGACACCACACATGGTGGCAAACCAGACCAGGATGTTCTTGTTCAACTATGCTGAACAAAAATATAAACGCAACAATTTCAGCAATTTTACTGAGTTACAGTTCATGTAAGGAAATCAGTCAATTTAAATAAATAAATTAGGCCTTAATCTATGGACTTCACATGACTGGGCAGGGGCGCAACATGGGCAGGCCTGAGAGGGCATAGGCCCAATCACTTGGGAGCTAGGCCCACCCACTGGGGAGCCAGGCCCAGCCAATCAGAATGACTTTTTCCCCATAAAAGGGCTTTAATACAGACAGAAATACTCCTCAGTTTCATCAGCTGTCCGGGTGGCTGATTTCAGCCGATCCCGCAGGTGAAGAAGCCGGATATGGAGGTCCTGGGCTGGCGTGGTTACACATGGTCTGCGGTTGTGAGGCCGGTTGGATGTACTGCCAAATTTTCTAAAATGACGTTGGAGGCGGCTTATGGTAGAGAAATTAATATTAAAAATGTATCTTAATTTATAATCTGTAGAAACTATGAGAATAGATAGGTTCAGAACTTTTGTCACAGCACAGTTGAAAAATATATGGCAAATAGAAATCAGATCTGGATGGTGTTCAGAGATAGATGGGAGGGGTTGATTGGATCTGAAGGGTGGGACTAAAAACAAACAAAAGATAACTCATGTAAAATATACTGTGTCCATAAAATGTATATAGGTTCAGAACTTTTGTGAAACAGCACAGTTTAAAAATATATGGCAAATAGAAATCAAAATTGAATGGTCTTCAGAGATAGATGGGAGGGGTTGAGGGTAGCTGGAGGATGGCACTAAAAACAAACAAAAGATAACTATTGTAAAATATACTGTGTCCGTAAAATGTATATAGTATGTATAAGCTGGAAGTAGAAGCCTAAGTATTGTTGTCCATTAGTTTACTCCAATTAGGGGAGGGGTGGTAGGGTTAGGGGGAAATAGTAAAGAAAAATATATTTAAAAAAAAAATGTATGGGGGATTGGAAATGATGAAGACAATTACATTGATGGAAGCCACAATCTATCTGCAATACTAAAGCTGATCTACCCCATAAAAAAAATAAAAATAATAATGATAATAATACAAATTGTGCACAACATTTGAGATAAATACTTTTTTGTGTGTGTATGGAACATATCTGGGTTCTTTTATTTCAGCTCATGAAACATGTTGCATTTATATGTTTGTTCAGTATAGTACTGTGGTACCAACACAATTACTCATTTATATAATTGACGATTATGGGATCCAACATGCACCACCAGTATGTGGACACCTGCTCGTCAAACATCTCATTCCAAAATCATGGGCAATAATATGGAGTTGGTCCCCCCTTTGCTGCTATAACAGCCTCCACTCTTCTGGGAAGGCTTTCCACTAGATGTTGTAACATTGCTGCGGGGACTTGATTCCATTCAGCCACAAGAGCATTAGTGAGGTCGGGCACTGATGTTGGGCGATTTGGCCTGGCAGTCGGTGTTCTAATTCATCCCAAAGGTGTTCGATGGGGTTGAGGTTAGGGCTCTCTGCAGGCCAGTCAAGTTCTTCCACACCGATCTCGACAAACCATTTCTATATGGACCTCGCTTTGTGCACGGGGCATTGTTATGCTGAAACAGGAAAGGGCCTTCCCCAAACTGTTGCCACAAAGTTGGAAGCACAGAATTGTCGAGAATATCATTGTATGCTGTAAAGTTAAGATTTCCCTTCACTGGAACTAAGGGGCCTAGACCGAACCATGACAAACCAGACCATTATTCCTCCTCCACCAAACTTTACAGTTGGCACTATGTATTGGGGGAGGTAGCTTCCTCCTGGCATCCGCCAAACCCAGATTTTTCCGTCGGACTGCCAGATGGGGAAGCGTAATTCATCACTCCAGAGAATGCGTTTCCACTGCTCCAGAGTCCAATGGCGGCGAGCTTTACACCACTCCAGCCGACGCTTGGCATTGCGCATGGTGATCTTAGGCTTGTGTGCAATTGCTCGGCCATGGAAACCCATTTCATGAAGCTCCCGACGAACAGGACAGACGATTTTTACGCGCTACGCGCTTCAGCACTCGGCAGTCCCTTTCTGTGAGCTTGTGTGGCCTACCACTTTGCGGCTGAGCCGTTGTCGCTCCTAGACATTTCCACATCACAATAACAGCAATTACAGTTGACTGGGGCAGCTCTAGCAGGGCAGAAATTGTACAAACTGACTTGTTGGAAAGGTGGCATTCTATGACGGTGCCACGTTGAAAGTCACTGAGCTCTACAGTAGGGCCATTCTACTGCCAATGTTTTTCTATGGAGATTGCATCGCTGTGTGCTTGATTTTATACACCTGCCAGCAACGGGTGTGGCTGAAATAGCCGAATCCATTAATTTGAAGAGGTGTCCACATACATTTGTGTATAGTGTATATCTTCTCTAGATCATTTCCATGTCATCCCTGAATTTGATTGACCATTAATTGATTGATTTATGACATAATAGTTAATGAGTTCAAATCCTGTTAGAGTATTTGCTATGCTGACCTTGACTTCAGAGCATGACCCGGATTCATTCAAATCAGGCCATTTGACTAAGTGGTTTGCAGCTTCTGGACTGTCAGCATTCTGCTTCACATCACCTGGGATTTGAAAATGCTCATTTTATATCCTTTGAGATTGCAGTAGTCTGATCATTTAACAACTGAATTTTGTATTTGAATTTGAAGCACATCAAATAAGAAATATGCAACCTGCATGAAGAACGTTTGGTGTAAGTGAATGTGTATGCAACAAATCCACCCACTGTCTAACACCTAAACCTGAGGTGCTGGTTATTAAGAGAAATATCGACACACAACGTAATGTTGCTTCAGAAACATGACATTTATTACAAACACAATCCCCAAGTCAGAAAAAGAAAGTGATGATGACAAAATAAAAAATAAGAGCATTTGACATCAAACCATTAATGTCTGCATTTCGTTAACATTTCTTCCATACTTCAGTTCTGCTGAGCACAAAGATATAAATCTTCTTAATTAAAATCAAATCAAATCAAATGTTATTGGTCACATACACATATTTAGCAGATGCTATTGCGGGTGTAGCGAAATGCTTGTGTTCCTAGCTCCAACAGTGCAGTAGTATCTAACAATTCAATTCATTATTCTCCTCATTAATGTAGAGAGTTTTAGCAGCTAGTGATAGTGATTATGGTATGGAACATTTATCTTATCTCTGGCAACTTGAACGACATATGAGGTTTGAGATCCTACTAGCTCTGAAGCGTTCCCTTCTAGTCTCACTCCTCTCTATTATGGTTATCCACAGACGAGACAGGTGTATTTTGTCTCTCCCTCGATGCCTTTGCTCTTCAGCTCATTGATGAACTGCTGAATGATCTTAAACACCTGATCATCGTAACTCTTGGTCGTCAGGCAGTCTTGGTCCTTGAGAAAGTAGGCTGTTTTAGCACCTGCAATAGGTCTTGAGGATTCTGCATTGACAAAGGGACACACATTCTTACGACTTTTGAACAGCATCTGACTTTGAAACATATCATCGTTATTTCAATATGATTTAAGACTTTACAACAGAATTAGAGGATGTTTTAGTTACAGTATTACATATTACAGCTCTACAAGCTGTGCACCATGGCCTTTCTGTGGAGGTATAGAGAGACTTTATAGAGGCTTTACAGAGAGGACTTACTGTTGCAAACGGCCAGCCTGTTACCTCCGATGTACTGGGTTGTCCAATTGAATTTGGTGTCTGCACCGCAGTTCTCATACAGACGACTGGTCCTCAAGAACGCAAAGTCATAGCCCTGTGTAGTGAATAAATTACAATTAATAAGGCAACTATGGCAAATAATGAATAATGTGCTAGCATGCTAGCAGATACCCATAGACTTCCAGCCATTGCGCTAACGCTACTTAGCATTGGCTCTTGAAACTACCTCTAACTTCTTTCAAACTGGACACAGAGACATAAAAATGGTATCCACAATTTCATCTGACTCTGGGGATAGATAAAGGGCCTCGTTGCCAAAATCCCGAAGTATCCCTGTAAGAACCAAACATTTTATTTTATTTTATTTCCCCCCATTTTCTGTAGAAACTCTTTTTTTGCAGAAACTGTTTGTGTTTCATATAAAGGAATAGCCAATTGTAGCATACTGCATATTTAATCTTTGTGCCACCATACAGTGTGATTATAAGAGGCTTTTAGCTCATAGGCATGTGATGTTACAGGAAAGAGTACCTCATTGCACATGGGTTTACAGTAACGCCTGTTGTTGATGGTGACACACACAAGTCCTCCTTCACTCTGGGCTACAGCAGCTGGACAATGATTGGGATCAACGGCCTGGCAAGCTATACAAGGAAAACATACACAGAAACACAATAATTACTTAGGTAATACATTTAGAAAGACACAAAGTGAAGCCAATGTAATTATTGGTTACACTAAAAGAGGCCCTTTGCTCTGCCATAGCTTATTTGGGGCCAATAAAGTATTTGTCAGCAACACACTCTTATTGTACACAGATCTGTGTTTTGCTCAGGAGTCTTAACCTGTTTCTTGATGTTTCTGTAGAATGACTGTCAGTGTTTTTAGGGAGTTAATCACAACAGCAGTCTGGTTATCGCTCCACTGGCTAGTAATGTTTTCAGCACATTGTGCTGCCTCCTGTTTAAAGATAGTGGAAAGAGATGTCACTCATCTGTTAGAAATCCAAGTACCAAAACATGTAAACTACAAGCTAGTTAACCAGAGTAATTGATCAGCATTGCATTATTTGTAAAAGTTGATCACAGATTTAACAGTATTTTAGACAAAATTCAGTGATGAAGTTATCCATACCGTAAGCTGAGTAGAGAGCTGTTCAAACATCAAGGTGGTTGAGGAGCACTTATGGTTCCCAACATCTTTCTCCTGAGCAACAGCATATGAGAGGACAGCTGGCAGACAAAAAACATTCAGTATCACACAACAGTCTCAACCTTGTCTCTGCCCATGTGTAGTTGTTCTGTTGATGGAAAAATGAGTGTCATGATGTGACAGGTTGATACTCGGCATGTAGGCCTACTGTTTTGAATACATTGTTACCATAAACTCAAACACGTATAATGAATTTGAAGGCTCAATTAAGTTTCTACCCCCATCATGGCTTGCCTTCTTACCTGTCAGTGAGCAAAAGTAAAGTAGAACTCTTCTTGTTGTAGTTTTTGTCATGTTGTCAATGTTGTGTTTCTTCCCTCAGCCTGAGTTGTAACCACCATTGGTGTATTTAACGACTGACTGCACTTTGGGGAGGGTACAAAGTTTATGTTGCTGCTGACCAATTTCCCAGTCATGGGCCAGACCGTGGACTTGCAGGAATTCACAGTTAATGCCTAACCTTAAGAATTCTGAGTTAATGCCTAAACTTAACCCTAACTTTAAAAATTCAGAGTTAATGCCTAAACTTAACCTTAAACACTTAGAAGTTTGGAACATCTTCGAAATTTGACGTTTGAGAAACATGGATGAACGTCTAATTCTGACGTGAGACTGTGAGAGCTTGTAGGTGCCATCAACGGAAACTTCACTATTAACATCATCAACTAGCTTGGTTAGCTCGGACTCGCCAAACATAATAATTGTTGCCTATGTATTTTTTTATTTTTATTTATTTAACCTTTATTTAACCAGGTAAGCCAGTTGAGAACAAGTTCTCATTTACAACTGCGACCTGGCCAAGATAAAGCAAAGCATGCGATAAAAACAACAACACAGAGTTACATATGGGGTAAAAAAAACATAAGGTCATAAAATACAACAGAAAATATATATACAGTGTGTGCAAATGTAGCAAGTTATGGAGGTAAGGCAATAAATAGGCTATAGTGCAAAATAATTACAATTAGTATTAACACTGGAATGCTAGATGTGCAAGAGATGATGTGCAAATAGAGATACTGGGGTGCAAAAGAGCAAAATAAATAACAATATAGGGATGAGGTAGTTGGGTGGGCTAATTTCAGATGGGCTGTGTACATGTGCAGTGATCGGTAAGGTGCTCTGACAACTGATGCTTAAAGTTAGTGAGGGAGATAAGAGTCTCCAGCTTCAGAGATTTTTGCAATTTGTTCCAGTCATTGGCAGCAGAGAACTGGAAGGAATGGCAGCCAAAGGAGGTGTTGGCTTTGGGAATGACCAGTGAGATATACCTGCTGGAGCGCAGACTACGGGTGGGTGCTGCTATGGTGACCAATGAGCTAAGATAAGGCGGGGATTTGCCTAGCAGTGATTTATAGATGGCCTGGAGCCAGTGGGTTTGACGACGAACATGTAGTGAGGACCAGCCAACAAGAGCGTACAGGTCACAGTGGTGGGTAGTGTATGGGGCTTTGGAGACAAAACGGATGGCACTGTGATAGACTACATCCAATATGCTGAGTAGAGTGTTGGAGGCTATTTTGTAAATGACATCGCCGAAGTCAAGGATCGGTAGGATAGTCAGTTTTACGAGGGCATGTTTGGCAGCATGAGTGAAGGAGGCTTTGTTGCGAAATAGGAAGCCGATTCTAGATTTAACTTTGGATATTTATTCAATCATTATTTTCTGAAGTTCTTGTCTATCATCATCATTGAATCTCTGCTAGCTAGCTACAGGCCAATGATTTGTTTAGCATAACAACGCCAAATGAATAGAACCATTAGAACTAACGACTGGGTCAAAACAGGAGAAAATAACTAAAAAGACCAGCCCGCTTGGGTAGCAACTTCAGAATGCAAAAACACATTTTCTTGTTAAAATAATGTTTTGAATGAAAACGTTTAATTAATATTTTTGTAAATATGTTGGCAAACATTTTATAAAATTAATAATGCCCTCGAACCCGGGAATTATCGTGTGACTATTTGATTCGGAGTTCGGACATGTAAAGTTTGTATGTGAAAACTATTTATAATATGCATACTTGTAGTTTTTTCGAACTCACTTCATTCGCACATAAGAGGGCGGCTCACTAGGCTGGTGCTAGCACATTCGCAGATCAAATACACCACTGTGTCACGATCGTCAAAAGGATTGGACCAATGCGCAGCGTGGAATGCGAACATACTTTATTATATATTCACCACACAAACAAAAACAACAAAACGATACGAAGTCCTTGGTAACAAACACAAACCAACACGGAATAAGATCCCACCATACACTGTGCCAAACAGGCTGCCTAAGTATGGTTCCCAATCAGAGACAACAAGCAACAGCTGATTCTCGTTGCCTCTGATTGAGAACCACCCCGGCCAACATAGAAACACAATGAACTAGATCCTGAACATAGAAACACAAAACATAGACTCTACACACCCTGGCTCAACATAACAGAGTCCCCAGAGCCAGGGCGTGACAGTACCCCCCCCCCCCCCAAAGGCGCGGACTGCGACCGCGCCAAACATAAACCGAACAGGGGAGGGCCGGGTGGGCATTCCTCCTCGGAGGCGGATCCGGCTCCGGGCGTGACCACCACCCTTTAATAACCCCCCCGTAGTGCCCCTGGTCTGGTCCCGCTGGCTGGAGCTGGACTGGACATCGGTGGAGTGGATTGCTTAGGCTCCGGTGTGGAGCAGCTGACCGGTACCTGACCAGGCACCGGTGAACCGGGCACGGGCTGTGCCGGACTGACGACACGCACCCAAGGCTTGGTGCGGGAAGCAGGAATGGGCCGGACCGGACTGACGACGCGCACCCCTGGCTTGGTGCGGGGAGCAGGAACGGGCCGGACCGGGCTGACGATGCGCACCACAGGCTTGGTGCGGGGAGCAGGAATGGGCCGGACCGGGCTGACGACGCGCACCTCTGGCTTGGTGCGGGGAGCAGGAACGGGCCGGACCGGGCTGACGATGCGCACCACAGGCTTGGTGCGGGGAGCAGGAATGGGCCGGACCGGGCTGACGACGCGCACCCCTGGCTTGGTGCGGGGAGCAGAAACGGGCCGGGCCGGGCTGGCGACGCGCACCATAGGCTTGGTGCGGGGAGCAGGAACAGGCCGGGCTGGCGACGCGCACCATTGGCTTGGTGCGGGGAGCAGGAACAGGCCGGGCCGGGCTGGCGACGCGCACCATAGGCTTGGTGCGGGGAGCAGGAACAGGCCGGGCCGGGCTGGCGACGCGCACCATAGGCTTGGTGCGGGGAGCAGGAACAGGCCGGGCCGGGCTGGCGACGCGCACCATTGGCTTGGTGCGGGGAGCAGGAACAGGCCAAGCCGGGCTGGCGACGCGCACCATAGGCTTGGTGCGGGGAGCAGGAACAGGCCGGGCCGGGCTGGCGACGCGCACCATAGGCTTGGTGCGGGGAGCAGGAACAGGCCGGGCCGGGCTGGCGACGCGCACCATTGGCTTGGTGCGGGGAGCAGGAACAGGCCGGGCCGGGCTGGCGACGCGCACCATTGGCTTGGTGCGAGGGGCAGGAACAGGCCGGGCCGGGCTGGCGACGCGCACCATTGGCTTGGTGCGAGGGACAGGAACAGGCCGGACCGCACTGGGAACACACACCACTGGCCTTATACGGGGATCAGGAACGGGCCGTACCGGACTGGAAACACACTTCAGTACCTCTCGCCATGCCTCTACACTTTCCCTCCCTCTAATCACCAATGGCTCCCGTAACCCGGTGGCCTTCTCTCCTCGTCCACAAACTCGCCCCTTATCTGCCTCCAGCAGCCCCGGCGTCCATGCCATGTGCCCCCCCCCCCTAAAAATTTATTGGGGTTGGCTCTCGCCTGTCCGACGACGACACTGTTGGCGCCGTACCTCCTCTCTCGCCAAGGCTTTAACCTTTGCCCATGGTCCTCTGCCCTCGAACATGTCCTCCCAGGACCACCATTGGCCCACCTGGGCCATCGCCAACTTCTCCATCTCCTTACCCGGCGTTAGTTCCGAAACACGCTGCTTGGTCCAGTATTGGTGGGATCTTCTGTCACGATCGTCAAAAGGATTGGACCAATGCGCAGCGTGGAATGCGAACATACTTTATTATATATTCACCACACGAACAAAAACAACAAAACGATACGTGAAGTCCTTGGTAACAAACACAAACCAACACGGAACAAGATCCCACCATACACTGTGCCAAACAGGCTGCCTAAGTATGGTTCCCAATCAGAGACAACAAGCAACAGCTGATTCTCGTTGCCTCTGATTGAGAACCACCTCGGCCAACATAGAAACACAATGAACTAGATCCTGAACATAGAAACACAAAACATAGACTCTACACACCCTGGCTCAACATAACAGAGTCCCCAGAGCCAGGGCGTGACACACTGGAACTCCATTTAAGGTGTTTACATGTCCTAATAATTCAAAAGATTGTTCAGAAAACCAGGTGTTTTAATCAGTGTATGCTTACTTCGATTTTGACTTTACGCCGATTAAGATAAGCAGAGTAAGGTGTTTACATGACTATTGCATAATCTGCCTACTGCCATAATCAGTTTATTATCGAATTATTACTGTGCATGTAAACGTACTAACTTCTACATAGAAGATCATAGGAAATCCCAGGACATAGTGTCTATAATACTGTAACAAGCTGACATAGTTGCTGTCCCAAACTTTAAACTCCACACAGTTGTCACTGACTAGTTGGATATTCATTTCCCACTGAGCAAACAATTGATGTACTTACAGCATTCATATAAAATCATTTTAATCAGGTTTTTGCTTTGGCTGACCTTATTTTTTTTATTGACATTTGCCAATAAAACCCAGGAATGCAACTGTTTATGTAAAAAAAAAAGGTGTTCTATTTGTAGCCCTGCTTGTCCTGAAAATAAAATGGTATGTAAAACACTGTATATAAGGGCTGGACATAAATGAAAGTCAGATAAATAAACAACCAATTTTTGCTGGGGTCTCAGGACTGACAGGTTTAAGGTGAAGGGAAAATAACACATTCTAAAAGAACAGCCTTGACTTCAGCTTTCCCTCAGCAAACACTCAGCACATACAGGCAGTTACCAGTATGCAGAAGATTAGTAAACACCTTGGAAACATGCACTTAGAGATTTACAAGCACTCAAATCCACAAGCAGAGGAAACATCCATTTATTTCTCAAATATGTATAAGATGTAAATCAGAATAAAACATTTTCCCGTGCTAGTCTTTAGAGTCATGTGCTTGCTATTTCTAACGAGATACATATTACAGTCCTGGAAGCAAAGACAGAAAGTGCAGATAAAAGGAAAGCTCTTTATTATTCAGTGTGAATCAGTGTTCCTAGAACACTGGCAGGCACAGCTATTCATCGAGGCCAGAC